GCACACGAACTGTTTCGACGTGAACGTGTTACGGAGACAGACGAAAAAGCGGGCAACGTGAAGGTTAAGGTGTCCCGGCCGGGGGAGCCGGCCGGTCATGCACCTGCGGGTGCCTCTGTTGCGCCACTTTCGAGCGAGTATACGCCTGACATTTTTTCGGCAAGATGTATGTCGACGATATGATCAATCTGGAGGCGTTCCCGTACGGAAAGAAAGACATGTTGCTCGCAGCAACGAGGTCAGCTATTTCTGAACACCTTCGAATGCTTGGAAGCACCGTAGACAATCCCGTGCCGGTAATGTCACAAAAAATAACTCAAAGACTGGTCGGTTCAGCAAGAGGTTCTGGGGTATGCCATCGATACGCACAATATGGCAATTGCGATCCCCGGGAAAAAGATCGAGGAGGCAATGGCGTTACAAACCGAATGGCCGAAAACGCGTCGTTGGACCAGGGCCAAAGAAGCATGGAGCTTGACTGGCAAGTGACGGCACCTCACCACAGTAGTGCGGGCTGAAGTACTTCGTGTGGCGGCTTGGTTCTGTCACAGGACTTGCCGACAACGATCAACACGCGTCGACGGTCATGAAAGAATCACCCGTGAATCTGGTTGAGGAGTTTCATGCGCATTTGGAGTGGTGGAGGTGGGCAGTGCGGCGGCGCCTACTGGCGGAGGGTCTGTCTCTGTGTTCCCCGTTTGAAGATCATGTTCAATGGGAAGCGACGCGGCATTGGTTTTCTGATGTTACGCTAGGAGCTATTGGGGGGTATTGCAGCGAAAGGGGTGTGTGGTGGCGGTACGATTTAACTCCAGAGGAGAAAAGTCGATCGTCCGATACGGCCGGTTGCTCTCGGCAGAGCAGGCTGTCCATCAATTTGTCGGAAGCATTGGCGATGTTTATCAACGCCTACTACGTGATGATCGTTGTCCTCGAAGATCAGCCAGTCGTCCCCGGGGAGCCTGTTCCTATTCGTGGTGATACTACCTCCGCTGTGACATGGGTAACAAGTGTGGGGGGGGCTCACGGAGGCAAAGCACCGCATTTGTTTTGAGATGGCTGGGCGTGTTGAAGATGACCNATTGACCTCGCATCCCTACAAAGCCGGGACGGAGCACGCCGGGTTCTCACCGGACCAGGCTCTCACATCACCAAGCGCGAAGAGCCGTGAGGTATTCGGCGAGTCGCATTAAGGGTGCGCTGCATCCTGCTTGTGCTCACTTCCTTGCATACGGATGACAGCTGCGTATGACTTAATCTATTTTCTGGTGCTTTCACTTCCAGAGACAGTTGTGAGCACTGTGTAACTGCCTCGAGGGTGCTTGACCATTTATCACAACGTGGTGCGATCATCCCCTTGCGCGGAGCGAGGGTTCTCCACCCCGCAAAGCATGATCTACTCGACCACCATTATGGCTTCCGCCAAAAAAAACAGCGGAAAAACACAAAACGATATCCTGGATGCCGAGTTGACGAAGTGAATCGGCTTGTTGTACAGCGTCGTTGCCAAGCGACAAAAACCCAACCCCGATGGTAAACACCGGGACAAGGATGACGGGGGGGTGGCGTTTCCAAGCGGCACATATCCCTGGTTTTGAGGACGTATGGGCGGACGAAATTTCACGGTGATCACGGACGTATGTTCCTCGCAGACAAACTCAGATGTCTTCTCCCCCTCGTGCGCGTTGGCTAGAGGTTAGGTTGGGGAACTCAGGTGGGATGGCATGTTCGGAGATCTTGCGGTCTTGCTCTCCACGGGCAGAGTTGCTCCGGCGACTCACACCACCTACGCAGCGGAGTGGAAACTGTGGGTAGAATGGAGAACGGTCTATTGGGATGCGGCGGGGGAGGAAGAAGAGTCGGCAACCGAGTTGGCGAAGTACATGGCGTACCTGTGTTGTTGTCGGGGCAACATAATGTCCACGATCGCGGGGAAGTTTGTCGCGGTCAAGCACTTTCACAAACGCATCGGGGTGGACCTGCCAATGAAACATCATTTCTTTCGGGCTGTCAAAGCCGGTTTGACGAGAGAGAGCAAGCTGCATATCGATGGTAGGACGCGCCGCCCCATTTCGTGCACCATTTCCGCAGCGGCATTCGCACGGCGGCGGGATGGGGCGAGGGTGGTCGGGTGCTGTGGCTCGGCTTAGCGGTGTCCTATATTGTTTAGTGCCGCCCATCGGAAATCCAAGTAACGGTAATTGATTCACAACGAGTTCGGGATTACACTACGCGAGGCAATGTGGTGTTTTGGAAAGAGGAGGTGCAGCTCCTTACCCCGACCCTTTGGCGTTGTGCGGATAGAGTAGGGGTGCTGTTCGAGGCGTCAACGGGCAACCATGACGAAGCAGTGTTGTCGCGCGTAAAGACGTGCTAAGTTTGATTGAAGGGATGGAACCGGCGATGCACCAGCGGGGATGCTGGGCATAGGCGGGTTCGAAGTTTTGCTGGAGTATATGTTATGCTATCCGCAGCTCGATGAGAAAGCACCTATTACTGCTTACCCTCCGGTAAGGATTGGGAGGTTCGGACGTGTGCTCAATCGTCGACAGCGTTGCGCGCTCTCGTGACTCGTCAACGGTTGAAACCGGAAGAGTACCCGCCGCATTCCGGCAGGATAGGGGGCGCGACTAGGTTGGGGGCGATGGGGTTGTCGTCGTGGGCAATTCCACAGCAAGGGGGGTGGAAATCAGACGCGTTTCAATCGTACATGTTGGCCAATCTGGACGATGTTTAGAAGGCGTCCTCTGCGCTATTGAGCGTTGAACGCTGTCGGGAAGGGGATCCAGCCCGGGTAAATGACGCGGTGGAAGAGTGCACGACCTGAGTCGAAGTAGCGTTTCGGGATTTTATCTTTGTTTCATTTGGTTTCTCGGGAGTTTGTCCTGTGTACCTCGTACCTTTCGTTTTTCGGAGTCTTAACGGTGTGCTATTATTCGCTCTTGACACCGGAGGTACCATTTTATGGTCATGTTGGATGACAAGGTGGGGGCGGGGGGGGAGAGAGGGGGTCTGAAGGTGGCGGTTTGGGGAAGTGGGTGGGTATGGTGAACGGAAGAAGTATTTGGGGGTAGGGCGCAGACGCATGGGAGAGGGGAAGAGCAGGCTGTTAAAGTGGGGTAGCGAGCTGAGATGTGACAGCCTACCCAGGTTTTCGTCTGTGTATGGTGTGTGTATGAGGGAACCGGGCAAGATCTGGCGTGAGGTAAGCCCGGGTGGCGTGATGAAGTCGTGGGGGTCCACGACTCGAAATGATAATAACTCCAGATTCACGAGCAAAACAAAGACTGAGATTAATGAATGAAGGAAATCTGAGGTTGGTTTGTGGCGCGAAATCGAATCGTGCAGTGGTAAAGTAAGCAAGAAAATGCAGGGAAGCTTCACTGGGGGATCGGAAGGGCAATGGCAGTGATGCCGTAGTGGAATACCACTTTCAGCTGCAGCAGCAACAACCAGTGAGAAGAGTGCCCACTGCAGCTGCTCCTGTGAGACGAAGGGGCGATCAGCCGTAGAAGTCGCCTCGTGTTACGAAAAGGTCATGGGTGGGGGTGTTTGATATCGCGGTTGGGTGTTCGTCGCTTGGCAACGACGTTGTACAACAAGCCCATTCACTTCGTCAACTCGGCAACCAGGATACCGGTTGTTTTTTTACCGCTGTTTTTTGGCGTTAATCATAATGGTGGTCGAGTAGATCATGTTGTGTGGGGTGGAGAACCCTCGCTCCGCGCAAGGGGGATGATCGCACCACGTCGTGATAAATTGGTCAAGCACCCTCGAGGCAGTTACACAGTGCTCACAACTGTCTCTGGAAGTGAAAGCACCAGAAAATAGATTAAGTCATACGCAGCTGTCATCCGTATGCAAGGAAGTAAGCACAAGATGCCGAACACCCTTAGCAGGATGCAGCGCACCCTTAATGCGACTCGCCGAATACCTCACGGCTCTTCGCGCTTGGTGATGTGAGAGCCTGGTCCGGTGAGAACCCGGCGTGCTCCGTACCGGCATTGTAGGGATGCGAGGTCAATGGTCCAACGACTACGGCATGCACGACTGTGAGTACACCCCCACCCCACCCCCTCGCTGTAAATCACACCGACTGGTGCTCCCACAACTCTACGTCTGGTCTTGTCTGAGTCGCCAGCCACATCAAAGATCTGACTGGTTCACGAAAGGGATAGTCTGTCTCTATCTCATCCGCATCAAAATCAGAAAACTTCACCCCCGAAGACATCGGATCGCTCTTACCTCCCACTACTCCAGAACCTGCTGCTAGCTCATCCGTGAAAGTCTGCTCAGAAATGGTCAATCTACCGGTCTCCTTGTTCCTCTCGTAAAAGCACCCAGAATACCATCTCAACTCTCCCAGCTTCTTCACTGGCACGGACTTGTTAAGGTCGGCGCCGAACTTGTCACATCTCTCCTGCTCTCACACAGCAAAAATGTATTCTACATGTACTACCAAAATCGAAACAACACATCTATCCTCAATCAAACGAAACACACAAGCATCGGCCATGCATTGCTCAAAACCTAACANCATGCACTGCTCAAATCCTAACGCCACCAAACACCTCTTCAGCATTGCATGCCACTGCCTAGATGCCTGTCTTAAGCCATACAGACTCTTGCCTAGTTTTACAATCATTCCTGATAGAGCTCCACATCCCTGCGGCAAACGCATGTACACGTCTTCCTCCAACTCCGAACGCACAAAAGCTTGCTCAATAACGAAATCACAGAAGTCGAGATTCAACTCGCACGCCAAAGCAGCAAACATCCAAACACACGAAACAGAAACGATAGGCGCGTACAACTCTCCAACGTGAATGTTCTGTCTCTGAATGTCACCTCCGCTACAAGTCTCGACTTAACATAAGTGGGCCATCCAAACTCATCTGCCTTCCAATCGAATACCCACGTAGCGTTCATTGCGTTCTCCACTAATTGCAACTTCGCCGCAGTAAAAGTCCCCGCTTCCAACAAGCCATGCAACTCCCCTTTCACAGATTCGCTCCACAGGTGCCGGTGCTCCGACGCCATGACCTCTTTATAGCTCTTTGGATCACGAAGGTCGCTGGCCTGGCAGTGCGCAAGGTCAGGGCGTTGCTCCGGCGGGAGCTGGTCACGCAGCGTGGCGTCGATGTCTTCCCGGTTGGCGAGGAGCGTGGCAAATGGGAGTGGAAAGCCCGCTCCGCTAGCCCCCGGGTCCACTGCTGCGAGTGCTCCCGCCTGCTCTCCGCCCGCTGCCTCCGGCTCTCCGCNCGGTTGGCGAGGAGCGTGGCAAATGCGAGTGGAAAGCCCGCTCCTGCAGCCCCCGGGTCCACTGCTGCGAGTGCTCCCGCCTGCTCTCCGGCCCCCGTTCCCCCCGGCTCTCCGGCCTCCGCCCCCCCCAGCTCCCTGCGCTCCTTATCCACCGCGCTCCGAGCCTCCAGCATCGACACCAGAGTGTTCTTGTCTAGCATCGAGATGAGTCCTGTGCTGTGCCTTGTGCCCGATCTCGTACGGCATGGCAGCCGCGGGTCTGTCATGCCCTCGGCCTTTGTACCCGGGCGAAGGTGCCGCATGGCGTGAGCCGTAAGCGGAGGCATCGCGGCATCCGTCGGCGGCGGCGGCGGCGGCTGGTCTGGATCAGGGGTCACCGACGGTGACGGCGAAGCGGCAGAGGACGGCTGGCCAGGAGCGGGGGTCGCCGACGGTGACGACGAAGCAGCAGAGGGCGGCTGTGAAGGCGTGGGAGCGGGCGGCGGGGTGGTCGCTGGCGGCGGGGTGGTCGCTGGCGGCGGCGTTGCGGCAGGGGGCGAAGCGGGAGCGGGAGCGGGAGCGGGCGACGGCGTAGGCGCTGGCGGCGGCGGTGCGGCGCTCGAAGGCGTCGGTGCTGCGCCAAAATTGATCAAGACGACCGGCGGCGTGAACGTGGGAGGTGTCGGCGCAGCGGTGATACCAGCGGAACCCCCCTCGCCCGCAGGCGCTGAAGTCCCCCACGATACGTTGTTGGTGTAGACGACGCGGCCGGTGAACGCCTTGAGGACCTTGACGGTGCCGCTCGGGTGGTTGTCGCCGCCGTTCAGGTAGTAGCAGAGGGTGGCCTGGTCGTCGAGCTTGGTGCGGCGATCCTCACGCATGAAGCCGGGCTGGAAGAACGGCAGCACGCGGAACGGCCCCTGCTCGCCGGTGAACATCTCGTGCGGCGAGCGCCGCCCGGGGCTGGCCTTGGGCGCCGACTGGTTGAGAGCGTCGGCGGCCCACTTCGCCGATTCCATCCAAAGACGGTCACCGCGCTCGTCGAGGCCGGGGATGGAGGCGAAGTCGACGTTAAACAAACGGCCAGCGCTGCGGCGGGCGGCCATGCCGGCCTTCATGATCCGCCAGATGGCGCTCTCGACGACGCCGTTGTACTGCGGGACGCCGGGCGGGGTGAACTCGACGCCGATGCCGTTGTCGTCGCAGAAGCGCCGGAAATCGCCGCGGGTCCACTCTGTGCCGTTGTCGACGCGGAAACATTCGATTCGTCCGAGGTCGTACCGCCCCACGTCCGCCAGCAGCCTTTTCGTTGCCGCCAGCGCGTCGGACTTCCGCCGGAGGCCGTAGACCTTGTTCCACCGCGAGGCGCTGTCCACGGCGACGAACAGGTAGAGGTTGCCGCCCAGGGAAGGCACCAGCGGCCCCACAGATCCAGGAGAACACGTTCGAGTGGCTTGGATGCCCGCGCTCCCGCCCCCCGCGGCACCGACTCTCGCCTGCCTTTCGCCCTCATGCAGTCCGTGCACGGTTCCAGCTCGCCGGTGAGCACGATGCCTCTCTGCTGGGCAGATTCTCTCAAAAGAGGCTCGCAAGCGCGGGCAAGAGAGCGGTGGAAGCGCTTGATGTCAACGGACTTTCAGTCGAACCAAGAGCAAACGGGGACGCACCAGGGCCAAGCGCGGCCGCCCCCAAGTCAAAATCAGCACCCCCATCAATGCTATCAAAAATACCAGCCACATTCGCAGCGTCACTCTCTGGGATAAACACGGGGAAAAACTCTTGATGCGGGGTGTCATTACAGCCGTCCATGAGCTGCTCGTCGGTGAGCACACTCGTATCTCCAAGATCCATACCCGCATAAGTACCCACACACGCAAGCTCGGACGCCGAAGGAGGTACAACGTTGGCAGAGCCGGCGGGCGGGACGCTCTCACTCGCAGGTACTACACTGGTGGGACCAGTGGGCGGGACGCTATCAGCGCAGACGCTTTTTCCTCTCCNTGAGCTGCTCGTCGGTGAGCACACTCGTATCTCCAAGATCCATACCCGCATAAGTACCCACACACGCAAGCTCGGACGCCGAAGGAGGTACAACGTTGGCAGAGCCGGCGGGCGGGACGCTCTCACTCGCAGGTACTACACTGGTGGGACCAGTGGGCGGGACGCTATCAGCGCAGACGCTTTTTCCTCTCCAGCAAAGAGCAGTCCATTTTGTAGGGTTGCGCCACGCTCGTCGTGGAGGATTTGTTGCTTCAGAGAAAAAGCATGCGTTAAAAACAAGTTGAAGCTCAGGCTCTTTACTACAGACACGTCAGTGAGCTTCACACACATCGTCATTGTTTCACCATTCTCATCCTCCTGAAAGAGACTAAGATTGATGCTACCCATAGCTTGCACTTCGAGCAGTCGACCATCACCTACAACGACATACTTCCTACTGGCGGGGATCTCTTGCAGGTCGTACATGTGCAGGCTGCTGTTGGTGAAACTGTTGCCGGCTCCTGAGTCGGCTACCCATCTCTCACTACCAGGCGGCCCGTCACTAGACTCCACACTCAGCAACGACGAAGCAGACTCAGCAGACTCTACTTCGTACCCGGAGGAGTAGCTGTAGCTGTCCCCACCGCCGGAGTAGTTGGCGTACCCGGCGTCGTGGTAGCCGTCTTCGTAGTAGTAGCCGTCGTCGTAGTCGCCGTAGTCTTCGTAGTAGCCAGCATCACCGTGGGCGTAGTACACAACGTACGCCTGCTCTCTTCCGTGGCCAGAACGCGCGTGCCCCGGGCCTCTTCCTGCCCGCTCTCTCTCGGCACGACCGTCGCTGCTGTGGCGTCCCGCGGGCCCACGACCTCCCGGATGACGCCCCAGACGGCCACCAGACCCACGTCCACGAAGAGGTCGCGGGTGGGGCGAGGCTTGGCTCCAGCCACCGCCACCATGACCGGTGTGGTGCTGCTGCCCTTCAATCCTCACCCATCGCCCGCCACCGCGGCCGGGCCCCGACGGCGGTCTACCCCCTCGCCGGCTACCGCCGCCCGAGCGGCGTTCCTCGGCGCCTTCTCTCTAACGCCCGCGCCGCAGTTGCCGCTGGAAAGGACACTGCTCGTTGGTGTGAAGCTCGAATTGGTGGTAGCGGCAAAATCCGCAGGGGTCGTCGTTGAACACGTCACCCTTTTTCTTCTCTCCGCCGCGATCTTGGTCGCCAGCTGCTGCGTGACCGCCGTCTTGACCCCCGGATGCCCCCCCACTGCCCCCGCCGCGCCGGCCCATGCCATACGCGGCGGGAGCGAGCTCCACCTCGCGCCTCTCCCCCTTGCTCCTCTCGCGCTCCATCTCCACGTGGGCGTCCCTCACCACAGTCTCAAGGGTACGCAACGTCAGGACATCATGGGCAAGCAGTTTTCCTTTTTGCACGACATGCGAAGAGGGAAGGCCACGAGCAATGTCTTTGTTGGCATCCGTTTCATCCTTAGTCGTGCCTGCAGATGCTAGACGCAGGCGAAGGGCTTCTGCCCGGACAATGTTGTGCTGTAAACTCTCAGACTCTTTCATCTCCAACTCCTTCCAGTCCTGCTCCAACCTCGACTTCTCTGACTGCTTTTTCTCCTGATAGAAATCTGTCACTATCTTTATGCCTTTTTGTGGACTATCACACGCCAGAATCAATCTTTGAATCGGGGGGTACAAGACCTTGCTGCTGAGAATATTCCATAGCTTGAAAGACTTGTCTATCACATCATTGCCAAAAAGTCTCCGAAGCTCTGCTACATTCACACTCCTTTCCGACCTCGAGCTCGACCTCCAGTTCCAAGGCACCATGCACACCCTCCTCCTGAAGATATGAAATCATCTTACCACGAAAACTATCAAACACAATATTCAAGTCCTGCTCCTTCTTCACGCTACCAAGCCAAAGTTCTATTTCTGAGTCAGGATTGGCACGTAACGCGCCTGAGCGCCCGAAGCCCTGTTATTCAGCAATGGCCTCAGCTGTCGCCTTAGCCGCTTGCGCCACGATGTGTACGACGCTGCTGGGGTCGTTAAAGGTGGCTGGTTTGCCCTGGCTGGAGGGTGATGGCTGGTTGCCAGTAGGTGGGACTGGGTTGCCGGCTGGTGGTTGGGCGTAGGTGACTTCACCCTCGTTGATCCTGTTGGCTTCAAGTTCGGCTTGTACTCGTTGCTGGACGATCTCCTCCACTTTTTGCTGTAGCTCTTCCCCGCTATGGGCGGAGAGGTCGATGCCCTCCATGGTGTCTGTTGTTGTGGGAGTCTACCGATTGCGTGTGACGGCACAATCCCCGGAAGGCAACGCCCGCGCGCAGATGCCGAGATATCGCACTAGTGTGAAAGGAAAACTACGCGGGGGTGCAGCAAGCCCGTGCTGGGCGTTACTTGGGGCAGTGGGTAGTCGGCCGTGTTAGACCGAGAGAGAGAGGTGGTGAGAGAGGTGGAGAGAGAGAGGGAGAAGGAAACTTGATTGGAGAGAGACGGCGGTGGCGGTGGAGAGAGAGAAGGAAGAAGTGCGCAGCACGCACGCAAGCCTCATCGCACGAACCACGCCAAAAGGGTCCCCGTGACTGCACCGATGGTACCCTACAACACACGAAATTCCCCACACGTATCCCCCTGGGATCCTCACGACCAGACTTTGGTTCATATTATATTACTATGACAATCAAGCATTGGATGCTGACAGAGGAGCGCAGAGCTATTCGAGCACTTTCGTGGTTTTCAAAGTACGCAGGCGTACATGGAGCATCCCGAGGACACTTAAGGCCCCTTTTCCGCCCCGCCTTGCGCCCCACCCTGCGCCCACTTTCATCACGCTCGCATACGACAACGGGGGTGGAGCCCGCTGTCGTACTCGCAGGGCAGGACCACATCATCATAAGGGAGATTATCTGCCAGGACAGCGCGGGATTTATTCACGGTGAGTCCTCTGAGTATCGCAACGTCATTACCTCGTGATGGCAAGACCCCGGGACAGGTGCGAGCCGAAATCCGACTAGTCTACCCCGCACGTCGCAGGCGGGTCTGTCTCGCTGGAGTGGGGGCCCTTCCTCCCGTCGCGTGTGCAGTCAGTACATGTCTCAGGCTCTCTTGGGAAGAAATCCGTTTGGAAAATGATCTCGTGTACGCAGTTTACTCGCCAAAAATGCGGATCATAATCTCACCCGCCAGCGAGGGGCCCTCTCCCAGAGGCAGCAGCAGCAGCAGCAGCAGCAGCGTTTGTTTATGTTTTTTAAACACACAATGCATGCGCATGTTTTTCGCCTCGGATGAAAGTGGGGCGTGCGCAACGCCAGAACACGCCGAAGACGACCCGGGTGGGCAGCATTAACTGAGGGCCCTCTGTCCCTGTACTTTTAACTTTGATGCTGTGGTGCGACCACGAGTCTCCGTGCCAGTATGATGAGGGATATTGTTCTCCCGTATCTTCAACGCTGAAGGTGAGATCCATGTACGCGCATGTTGAGCGCATTGTCACAGGTGTAGATGGACTGTGTCACACGCATGTACGGATATACGTGCATGGCGGTGATATTTTGCGGTTCGTGAACGCGTCGTGAGCCCTTGCGACCACGGATTCTATCCGTCAATCATACGCCGTAATGGCAGCTTGTAGTAGTTAGGCTTGGAGGCACTGCCGATCATGGGAGATGACGACAAGAATGATGCACACATGTGTCACTGTTGGGATTTGTATGCAAGAACTGACTCTATTCTACTGCATGGGTTTTGTGCAGTATTGTGAAGGCGTGTCTCCAAGTCTGTAACCGTCAGGTGAAGACAGCTTGGGCGCCTGTGTTTTGGATCTAATGATCACTCTGTGTTGTATCTACCCAAACTGCGCCACCACTGCCAACTACACAACAAACAGCAACTACAATTCTGTTGTCAGGTCATGAGCCTAGCGTTTGGTAGGTAATTCACATCGAGTCACACCCCAGCAGCAGCATGGCGTCCGCCACGAACTACCTGAAACAAGGATACGTCCCGTTTAGCGGGAAGCCGGAAGATTTCCACGGCTGGAGTGGCCTGTTCTACTCCATCATGGATGAGCAAGGATTAGGCGACATCATGGCTGGGACGGAGACCGCCCCGGCATCGGCGGCCAGCAGCGCGGATTCGGATCGTGCTGCGTTCGACAGGACGACGCTGGAATTCAAACGTAAGAACGGCAAACTGTACACACGGTTAAACTTTGCTACGTCCGACTGCGCCGATGGATTCTCGAGCACTGCTTCCCAAGTCGTTCGAGCCTTCGGCCCCGCTCGCGTTGGTGAGCATGGGGACGGACGTGCGGCATACGTTGCCCTAGAAGCGAAGTACCGCCAGAAGGGCACCTATCGGATGCATGAACTGCAGCGAGAGTTAGGATCACTTGCGGTCACTGCCGAGGACGATTACGACCCGGCGCGTGCAATCCAAGACTTGCGTCGTATCAGTTCCGAACTCGAGTCACTTGGAGACAAGGTCGTACCAGCCCGCCAGACGCATATCTTGTTGAACGCGCTTCCTGACCAGCACTACGCCCAACTTAAGGCCGCGCTGGTGTGCGGACAAGCCGATGGCTCGGAGTTGGATCTTGACTTCGAAAATGTCGCGCACCGAGCGACCGCGTACCATACACTGCAGATCAGGGGGAAGGTTTCTGCCCACGGCCGTGCCCACAACACGGTCGTGCACGGGGGTGCACGTAGTTTCCGTAAGCAAGGCGGACGTGGCGGACGCGGCGGACGCAACCGCCAAGGCAATGGCAGCCAACCGACCGGAGACAACGGCAGCAGCGGCTCCTCCGCCGGAAATTCCAGAGGCGATAGCCCTGGAGGCGCGCAAGATGTGCGCGGGCGAGGCCGCGGCAACAAGTCCAATAAAGGCGGAAACAAAAGTCACCAAAAGGGCCGAGACCGTCAGGGACGCTGCAAGTACTGCCACAACTCTACAGAGCACGGATGGGACGGCTGCCCCCTTCGCCTGGAGAACGTGCGAGAGGATAACGCCCAACAGGCGAATGCCGCCGCGCCGGAACCGTCCACGCAGGCATGGTTCACCCGAGTCGAGGAATCCAGCGGTGAGCCGGAGGACTTTTCCATCTCGTTTGGAGAACCGCAGGCACTGGAGATGCCTGCCGCGGCGCTGCCGGAGAAGCGCGCCGCCGTGGGCGTGCAGGAAGGTCTTGTCATCTACGATCCGCAGGCACTGGAAATGCCTGCCGCGGCGCTGCCGGAGGAGCGCGCTGCTGCTGAGGAGGAGGTGCCGGAGGCGCCTGTTGCGGCGCTGCCAGAGGAGTGCGCTGCTGATGATGCGCAGGTGCTGGATGCGCCTGCTGTGGCGCTGCCCGATGAGCGCGCTGCTGCTGAGAAGCAGGTGGCGGAGGCGCCTGCCGCGGCGCTGCCAGAGGAGCGCGCTGCCGACGATGAGCAAGTGCTGGATACCCCTGCTGTGCCGCTGCCCGAGGAGCGTGCTGCTGATGCTGCTAGTGACGTTCAGGTGCAGAACCCGCTTGCTGATGCAACAGATATAGTTGCCTACACCAGTGTGTACCAGGTTAAGGACGAGTCCGCCAGGAGCACCATTATGTTCGTAGACACAGCAGCGTCTAGCCACATGGTTAGCGCGGATTCCTACGCATCTCGCCACGTGACCGAGAAGTCGGACTGCAACGTGAGGATCAAAGGTTCGTGTGGAACGTCGAGCGCGGCTCAGAAAGGTATCCTGCGTTTCGGCATCTCAAACGACCGGAACCAACTCGTCCCGGTGGAGCTACAAGTACTACTGGTTGACAACCTAGGAGCGAACATCCTCTCGGTCGGAGCCCTGAAGGAAAGGGGGGTGATGTGCGATCTTCTGTCTACTCCTCCAGCACTCCGTAGCAGCGATCAGGCCTTCCCCATCTCCACGGAGATTTCGCGGATGTACAGCGTGAACATTGTCCTCGACGACATGAGGATGGACGGGACCGCGATGCTGCTCAAGACGAAGGTGAATGCACACATGTGGCACCGGAGGATGGGCCACTGTAATCCGCGCGCCCTCCAGCAGCTGGCGAGGAAGGAGCATTCTGGGGTTAAATTTGACCAAAACATCGAGTCTGGCGACTGCGAGGTATGTGCTGTCGGCAACAGCAAGAAGTCTAGTCACCCACCGGCTAACCGACCTCGCGCCGGCACTCGTCTTGCGCTCTTGCACGTAGACACCTGGTCGCACTCCGTAAAATCTCTCGGTGGACACAAGGGTGCGGTGATGTTCACGTGTGACAATACCCGCATGAGGTTTGGTTTTCCCATCAAGAGCAAAGATGCAGCTGCTGAGGCGCTGGAAACTGTTGTCAAGGAGGAAGCCGACCCGGAAGGACTGTGTATCACCACGCTACACTGCGACGGAGGGGGCGAGTTCAAGGGAAGGTTCGCGGCGCTGGCAGCATCACTTGGAATCAAAATCGAGACCAACGCCCCGTACATGCCTCAAGGCAACGCCGTCGCCGAGCGTGGCTTTGGCACGGTCGCAGCCATAACGCGGCGCCTTCTTCTTGGGGCACCTCATCTACCGGAGAGTCTGTGGGCCGAAGCGTTCCAATACGCGATCTATATACTGAATCGCACGCCTACGGACGTCTTGGGCGGCAAGGCACCACTTGAGGTATGGGAGAACAAACCGCTTGGCAGCTTGCACCACATCCGCGAATTCGGTTCGGTATGCTTTAAGCACGTGGAAGCGGGGGACAGGCCCAACAAACTGGCTGCCAGGGCTGAGAAGATGTTTCTGGTCGGTGTCAACCCTAAAAGCCGGTCGTGGAGGCTATGGTCCCCTCGTGACAAGTTTAAGATCACCAACTCCGCCGAAGTTTCTATTCGCGAGAAAGCCCCGCGCGACGTGGTTCCCCCCAAGGCAGGGCATGATCCGCTGCCAGAGACTCCAATGATTTACCATCCCGGTCCGGAAGAGTCTGATGACGACGTCGACAGTGTGGTGGAGCCACAAGACGAGCAGAAGGATAACGAGCCGGAGCCCACGCCTCAGGCGCAAGAGCCGGGCCCCCGTCGCAGCACCAGGAACCCCAAGCCGACTGAACGTCTGAACCTGTTTACCTTTGCCACGGAGGAGGAGGCCTTCGAGCAAGTGGAACGCTCCCTGCTCACCGGAAGCTCGCTTGGCAACAACGGGACTGGCAACCCTGGCGAAGTGGGCTACAGGGCTCCCGACCCTTCGAGCTACGACGAAGCGATCCGTGGGCAGGATGCTCTAGACTGGCAAGAGTCCATGCGGAACGAAAACCAGTCGCTTGTCGACCTTGATGTGTACGACTGGGTCGAGCCGCCGACGAGTGCCCAGGACCAGCCGATCCCGTCAAGGTACCTTTATAAGCGGAAGTACAAGAATGGCGAGCTTGCTCGACTGAAGAGCCGCGTTGTGGTCCAAGGCTTTCACCAAGCAGACACGGGCGAGGATAAAGCGGCGCCTGTGGCGTCCATGGAATCCGTCCACCTGCTGATTGCTATCGCAGCCAAGAATGGTTTTGGCCTGAAGCAAGCCGATATCAAGACGGCATTCCTCCACGCGCGGGTTCCTGCAAATGCGAAACCGATCTACGTCATCCCTCCGAAAGGGTTCGAGTGCTCTCCGGAACAACAGGGAAAAGTGTGGCGACTCAAGGCGTGGCTCTACGGGCTGCGCCTCTCTCCGAAGGGCTGGAACGGCACCTTCCACGACTTCCTGCTGGAGATCGGGTTCGTTCAGAGTACGGCGGACCCCTGTCTCTACATCCTTAACGCGGGAGGGGTCCTCCTTCTCGTGTACGTCGACGACATTCTTTTGTCGGGAAGCGACGAAGCGCAGGTGATGCGGGTCGTCGAGCAGCTGAAGGAGCGGTTCGACACAGTGTTCCTGGGAGATGCACAGTTCCTGCTCGGTATGGCACTTGAGAGGAACGTCGACGCCGGAACGATCTTCCTGTCGCAGGAGATGTACGCGAAGGCCGTACTTGACAAGTTCGGAATGGCCGACGCGCACTCTACGAAGACGCCTGCGGAGGCTGGGCCTATCAGCACCGTGGAGGAGAAGGTTTTGTCTCCAGAGGACACGGTGTACTTCCGGTCCGCCACGGGCAGTCTCCTGTATCTCAGCAGGGGTTCGAGGCCGGATATTACCCACTCGGTGATGGTGCTTACGAAGAGCATGGCGAAACCGGGTCCCAAGGCGATGGCAAAGCTGAAGCGGGTTCTCAGGTATCTAAAAGGGACAACCACTATCGGGATCACATACACCGAAGACGCCGACGGCGGAGACAAGCTAACGGCGTACGCGGATTCTGACTTTGCCGGTGACCAAGACAAGGGCTACTCCACAACCGGTGTCGTTCTCTATCTCGCAGGTGGCCCAGTGATCTGGATAGCCAAGAATCAAACGGTGCTGGCCATCTCCACGTTCGAGGCAGAAGTCGTCGCGCTGTCCAAGGCGTGCCTCATGGTTATACATTTTCGAAATTTGCTAGAGTCGTTGAAGATGAAGCAGAAGCAAGCAACAGTATTGTACGAGGACAACGCGGGTGCCGTAGCGTTCGCAAAGGGTAGCAAAATCACGCCCCGCACGAAGCACATCGACGTGAAGTTCCACCACGTCCGGCACCTAGAGGACCAAAACGTGGTAGATGTAACTTACATCGACACCAACAGGCAGAGGGCAGACATATTGACCAAAAGTTCGGGAGCTGTGAAGTTCCTGCAGAACCGCCTTATTTTGCTTGGAGTGTGAGTACCTCCCCTTACCGAAATCAGACCATATGTCTTAAAAGGGTTGGACGGTACATGGAATTCGCTGCCCAGAAAACTCTGGCAGTTAGTGATGAGTATTCAATTTGAATTGTTCGAGAGCATGCATTCATGTTGATAGCATTTGTCGAGAGGACACTGGTATTTGTTTCGAGAGGACACTGAGAGAAAGAATTTTGTGTCTTATGTATCAGAGCTAGTCATGACGTAGTTCTTGAGAGGACATGTTGGGATTTGTATGCAAGAACTGACTCTATTCTACTGCATGGGTTTTGTGCAGTATTGTGAAGGCGTGTCTCCAAGTCTGTAACCGTCAGGTGAAGACAGCTTGGGCGCCTGTGTTTTGGATCTAATGATCACTCTGTGTTGTATCTACCCAAACTGCGCCACCACTGCCAACTACACAACAAACAGCAACTACAATTCTGTTGTCAGTCACACATTGCTACTGATCCGGTCGATGTGTACTAGGTACATACGAGAAGCGAACAAAAAATATTCGCCAGAAGTGCATGGATTGTGGTAATAAAAAAATGTCTATTGGTTTTGGAGATGCTGACCGATATTCCCTCTCAGTTCCTCGCTGTTGAAAGGGGCAGTTGGCGATGTGGAGATGGCGTTGACGGGCACTCTGTCGCTTGCGGTAGGTATGCCTTGTCCTCGATGTTCCGCGCCCGAGAGAGCTCTTGCTGACCGTGAGTGCAGACATTGTTCATGTATTGAGGCTTTACTATACAGATTTTACAAAAACACTGCCTATCACTATTATCGTTATACGTGTAGTACAAAGTATCTAAACAACTGCTGTATCTACTGCCGCGAAGAGAAGCGGAAACCCGCCGCATCCGTGCCCCCGCCCGATTATACTTCAGCTTCGGCGACAGGCGCTGGCGGCATTTTTCACCGTGGTTGTGTGTACCGGATCTTATAACTTGATCCATGAACATGTGCATGTAATACTACTTCCAAGTTCCGGTGTGCGTTATCGTTCCCACTGCGATGGCTTCCGACAGGCTGAATTGATGCCTTCAACGCGGGGGTAAGATACGGGGGATTCGAGGAAACGAGCGCATGCCACGTCCAGCTCGAGCCATGTTCCGGTTGAGAGCAGTCGCGGCGGTCCAACGGGTAAATACTGCTTCTTCATTTTATCCCAAGTCATACTGGTTCTTCCCGTCGCGGTACAGTACGTAAAGGGGCCTGTTGCCCGCCTACTAGTTTCCTAAAATCCTTGTGCCAATGAGCATTGCGTTTTCTCCGTGCGCGCCATATCTCGCCTTCTGACCCGACAGATTCACTGCCCCCATGGGAAATGTGTGCGTGTTTGTGTGTGTGCGTATATATGCAGGGAACTTCGGCCGGTCGGACTACGCGCGCAAGGACGGCCTGGACAAGATGGTGGGGTACATCAGATCGGCCGACGACTCGAAACTAGAAGAACTCATGGACATCCTGCGGTTTTTCGACGAGTGG